GAATCACTTGGAAAATTCAAACGGCGTCCGGAAATATCCATGGAAACGGTTTCGCACGTGTGGAGCCCCGTACTTAGTCCCGAGATTGGCAGAATTTGCCGTTCTCGCACGGTTGACAGATTGTGAGCATACGAACGGGCGCAGACTCCCGGCCACAATGACCGAACTAATCTGGTCCGGTTCAGGGAGGTAGCCTAAGTTCAATATACACAGGAATACACTGCGGCCTGGAGGCGTTCCGTGTGTGCCTTCCACTATTGGCCTGAATTAATCACGACGTCGCCGCCGGCAGTCGCCTGAGCTCTACTTACTACTACCCGGCGTCAACTTAATTGTCCCGCACGTTTCGCCGCCAATTCATTAATTGGGATGCACTTGCACCATGCACCAAACAGGCTGCTTCCTCTTCTGAATGATGCGATGCCAGTTCATTTACGGATGCATTAAAGAAAACTGGTTACACGAATGTTTCTCTTGATATTTATCGTGAAACACTGACAGCAAAGAGTTAAGGGAAAGAAAGAGGGATAACTCGGATGCTGGATCAAGTTATTTTGGCAAATTTTCTGGCAATCTCTCGGTAATGATCGATCATATAAGGGGCTGGCAGTGACGCGACTCGGATATAATTTATACCGCTAGATACGTGGAGGGTAGCTTCCCTTAGGAAACGGAGCACACGGGGGTGAAAGAGGTTCGGCTCCGTGAACGGTCGTCGGGGGTGGCATCTGCTACACGTTAGACACGGGTCGAAGAGCACCGTTCGCTTCGTCATTACTTGCATTACTTTCCCGGCACGAGTCAAGTGGGTCAAGTATCGCGGGAAAATATGTATTCGATTCCGGTACAGGGAAACTCTGTATAAATCGTTCGAGCTTGTCTTTCACGGTTGCGAGATTCGGTTATCGCGCACAGCTATATAGAAAGAACTCGATTGTCTTCGTTCAGATTGAACCGAACCGCGAAATTGGAACACCGATATCCTGACGCGTGTGTAACGGTTGATTTTTATTTACGATCCGCGTCCTCTTTATCGTTCATTCGATTGGTTATCAAAAATGTAATGAAATCTGGTCCGCTGGCTCGATACTCGATTCATTTAAATTTCATTTCGTCGCAAATTCGATTGTCCGTCGCGCGAGACGTCAACGAAACGATTCGTTGAGAAACGATGTTCGAAAGGAAATGCGTGTTTTGATTTCGGAGAACGCTCGATGGATCGAAATTAATTAAGGGTGGCTGCGATCTCCTTCACGAGGTGGGGCTTTAAACTGAGCTAAGAGGAAATTAAGCAAAGATGTTGCCAAGGCTAATCGGCCTCTGTCGAGGGATGATTGCGCTGGCGCTACACGACGCCAGAAATCGTAAATAGCTCCGTTATTTAGGGGATGATAATTGACCGTTTCCAGTCTCCCCGACGACGCCCAACGAATTTCTCGAAACTCTGGGAAATTCGCCACTGCGCGCGCCGCGTCGCGCACGATGTTTACGAGCCTCTCTTTCGATGAGCTTCGGGGGGTGAAAATGAAATTCGATACGCTATTGTTGCGTCACACGACAATAACGATGCCGATGCGATACGATCTGGGCACCCCGGAGAATTCCCGATTCTTATTATTGGTTGTACAGTTTAATATCAATTATTTTTGTTCGCAAGAGTGTTGAAAAAGTTTGGTGGGAAGTTGTATCGAAACGGCTCGAAAGTGACACGTTACGATGCCACGAAATTGAGGAATCATAAATGTCGCGGGGTGAATTTTGCAGGGGGAAGTTCGGAGGGGACACGCTGTGCTCCGTGTCGGCTAAAAGCATTTTTGCGTCAGCCATCACGGTACTATCATAGGCTATCGATCCGTTTTATTCATTACTTTTGTCCACCGTTGCCTCGTCTCTTTACCGCGCTCTGCCGTTAAAATTACTCCAGCGCTAGGACAATGCCTCCCATTTTCACGATCTCCACAGCATGTACGATTCACCACACAAAAATCGTGATTCATTTCGGGCATTTTTGAGACCTGAAAGAGAGCCGACGGGAACGGATCCAGGTGACCTGGATATCTTAATTTGTGAATGGACACGTACTAAAGGCGACGTTTCCTCACGGAAAGATCACGATCTTTCCGCCCGTGCCGGTGTGGCGTTGATCCCCGGGCAACGTGGAAAACGACGCGGAACCTCGCCGATTATGAGGGTCCATTCAGCGAGCGAGGTGGATCCTGGAGGATCCGCCGCTGTCTGCTCCTTTCTCGTCCGGGTATTTTCGGTAAAACCCAGTCGACGTGGAAAGATCTTTCGTCGGCTCGTTTTTGTTGGAGGTGTGAGGTTACAAAAGGGAAAAGAGGACAGGATCGCGTGTTTTGTGCGACACGGCTTGGCCCCATGCCGGGCGAGGATTCTCCTCGTGACCGCGTGTCCTGCAGATCAACCGGGATGCGCGTCCTTTTCCTTCTCCTTTCTTGTCCGCGCGAACAGACAAATTAGGATGTTCCGCAGGATTTTCTTCGTTCGAAGTTGTGAAAGAAAATTCTTGTACTCGATGTTCGCAGCTATTTTTTCTATTAAAAATTGACCCACATTGGCAGTACGATTACGAATTGAAATTGTGAACGAAAGAGAAAATTCTATATAGATTCCGTTTCTCGTTTATTATACTATTTTCATGAATCGTGCAGGTCGGTTGAATTATCATCGTCGGCATCCAGGCGTCGAACTGTGAACGGTGGTTTGCCGTTCCGGAGGATGGAAGTTCATAGAGAAAAATCAACACAGCCGCGGGAGATGTAATTAAAATGGTCGCGCATTTCTGCCAATTTTAGCAATTTCGCGGCGAGGCGCGCTGCGTTTAAAGAGGCTCAAGGAATCATGCAATTATAATTTATCCGCGCGTCGACCGCGTCGGCTCTCTTTTCCCTTAGTTCCCTTGCTTCCTTGCTCCCGCTTTCCATTTAACTCGCGTTTCCTTTTGAACCCATTTTTCTCACGCCTCGCCGTTATTGTGCGAAGATAATGCACAGTTCGTAATTAATTCTTTCCTATTAAGAAAACAAGAATTGGAATGATTAGAATAGATGGTCAAATTTTTGAACACCTTCTAATCAAAAAGAGTCTGCCGATTGTTAACGCGTGTTTCGGTTGCGACGAGAAATCTCTCGGAAACCGAATAACCATAACTGCCTTCGCAGCGGTGAACGATTATGGGAACAAGATCCATGGCTAGACAAATCTGTCCTTCGGATTGTTAGCACATGTCCGAGCTCACCGACAAAGCGAACAGAAATTCCTACTGATCCGTAGCTTCACAGACTGATCCGTAGCTTCACAGTCACCCGCCTCTCTTTAAAAATCGAGCCTCGTGTCCACACTAGAGATCAAATTGAAACCAATAAAATAAATTTTTATATTTATATTAACCTCATGTAAAAAAAATTGTAACGTAAACGTATCCTGAACTTTTTAATGCATTGTATGTATAATAAAAACGACATACAATCCATATGTATAGGAGGTTGTATTATTGCAGTGTTGAGAATGAAGATTTTTGCTCTGCGAAACTCCATTCACGGAGTTGATGTTCCAGCGAGTCTTTATTCTGTTCTGTGAAAATGTTCTTTGCCGCACGAATAAGTAGCCGAGTTGGCGCATCATTGTCAAGGGTGTCACTCGCGTGGGATCCTAATCTGTCGCGTTATAGCCAGAAGCCCTATTGTGGCGGTTCGTTCGTGCCTATCTTCCAAAAACGCTCCTTAGCAGACCGGTAGCTAAACTGGCCATTATGAGAAATCGTTCCGTTTTCTTTCGCTCTCATCGACGCTATCTCACTCCCAGCATTGTACTATTAGCCCCTACCTGAGACCATTGAATCAATCATCGATACTTGAATGATCGTTTCCTGAGAAATCGTCAGGGTTACAAAATAAAAAATGGAGCATTCAAATATAATGGCATTTAAATAAAAAGTATAGAATAATTGCGCTTTCAACATAAAGTGCGATAAGAATTTTTAATGAACTCGCTTTTATTTGTAATAACTCGCCAACGGATGTCCGTTATTTTTGGATAAATATTGGAAAGAAGCAGAGGTGTCAAAGCGTAAGTAAACTCCAGGCGGTTCATCCGATGTTTTCAGTGTTTACTCGAACCGCGGATTATCCGGGACACGCGGATGAGCAAAGCTCTTCTCGAGGAACATTCCTTCGGGACTTGGTAACCGAGATTACTTACCTGCGAGTAAGTAGACGCTTATCCACCTGCGAGATTCATTGATTTTTATGGCCAGGGCATAGCGAGTTGCACCCGCTACCGGCAGGTGGTACGTTCGAACCCTCTTCTGGACTAACGCTGTAGGAGTTAGATATCTGTGATAAGAATTTCAATATCCTCTCTACTTTGTAACAAAACGGAAATATTATCCTCAGTACATCGCCAGAGACACAGTTCATGTTTCTAATGTACAATTTTATTTATTATACTTCTTGTTTGTTATTGATTTTATAATGATGTACGTGAAATAAAAATGGGATCTCACGTTGACGTATGTGAACGGTCATTCTGGGAGACAACGAGAACGTTGGAAAGTGTGAAATGTGTTTACAGCGTGAGACGAGGGTGAGAATCGGTGGAAAGAAAGAAAAGGGGCGTATCTCTTAGGGTGAGACGCTTGGCTGACCAAGCGCGTCTCGGAACGTTGCGTGCGAGCGCGAAACAATTGAAAAAATCACTTGTCTCGGGGTGAAAGTGGGGTGACTGCACCCTATCGGATGCTGGACGTATCCGTGGTCGGTGTAATCCGTTAAACGCAATATCCCGAATCCACAATGCTGCGGCTAGCCTCCGGAAATTCGCCATTCGTTAAACTGTTTTCCGCACGTGTATCGTTCTGATGGAAATTCATTGTTCGTCAGGTGCAATAGATGATTCGAAAACAAGTTGTCTCGTAGAGATAACATTCGTTAAACGATGCACAGTGGAATCATGAATGAATGATTAATTTTTGTTTTCAGGTCCGCACGGCAGCGACCGGGGTGAGGGGCTGGTTGGACGCGACGCACGAAACGAAGAATTGGCTGAAGTACATACGAAGCGCCAACAGTCCGCAAGCGGTGAACATGCGGCACGTGCTGATCGGTGGACAGGTAATAAAAACAGCATTCGAGAAATTCAAAATAGAACCGTAACGAAACGCGCTCGCATTCACAACTTTGTCATCGAGTTTTATGCGCCACGGAGCGATTAGAACTTCCGGTCATGGCCGAATGGCAAGCGCACGTTTCTCTTTCCCGCGGCGCGTGTTTCGATAATTGTTTTACAATTCGGCATTGAACTCCATTTACACAATTCGGACGCAACTGACACCCGATCGACAGTTGCAGTTAATGGAAGGTATAATTACACGTGTGTCAGGCGCAGTTCATTCCACCTGTTAGCGAAACTAATAAAAATGGGAAACGTACTTACTGATGGAGCTGAAACCGCGACTATGTAAGCTTGCTCGGGTTTAGTAATTGCCCAATGGACCGCTGTCGGAACTTCGTTAATAGTTACACAATGTACTTTCTGTAACATAATTACAGCGCGCACGTGTTGTTAGAAGAAACGATTTGTATCGATTTCCTACCATTCTGATAAGGATTAACGCGATTTCGATACTCATAATGCAATCAAATATTTGGCAAAGTTTATGCGCTGTAAAATCTGAATCATTCGAGAACATTTATCGGCCCATTTACAAAGAGATATGCATTACTGTTTAAATAAGCAGATAGAACAAAGACAAAGAACAGTTAAAAAAAGTAATAAACTGATCCGAAGGCAATGGAGGTCACGGTGTCAATTCAGTTTGATCGGATATCGTGTCCTTTCGATTCTGTATCTCTGTGAACCGTGGCACATGGTGTTCGCGATCGGCCGCGCCCTAAGCCGCGTGTATACAGGGTGTTTAGTTATTAAGTCACCCTATGGGGTCGTTTCACTGACTTCCTACACCCTGTTCGCAATCGCTGTGGGAATGGGGGATGATGTGGCACCGCTCTATCAGAGAGCCCCACAGGATCGTAATGACTTCTCGGGGGCCTTCAGACGATACCATAAACATCCTTTCATTGCCTTCAAACTGTGCGACTTAACTCGAAAATGGTGTCGCCTGATAGCACGAGTTTATTAAACAGCCTAGTCATAACTTTATATTTCCTCCTATGCTTTAAAATTTATTTTTAGATATATTGTAACATCATTGCATTTTCATATCTTCTCTCTGTCATACGGTCGGAATCACTTAAGCTCATAATTCTTGAGTCGCATAATATGTTAGCATCTTTGGTATTCGTTTCGAGTGGCACGGCTACTCGAGGAGATCATTCGCGATGAAAGGGTCGGATGATTCAAGGGTGGTCATTGTCCGCAGATGGTGTACGAGGCGGTGCGGGACATTGCGGCGGGTGAAGAGCTGCTTCTCGGTGTTCGAGAACCTCTTCAACTCCAGGATATGCTCGGCGAGAATACCACCGAGGACAGAAGCGACCGAGAGACCGGTGAGTATCGAATAGCATACGCGATCTTGTCTCTATCACAGCACTTCACCCCTGGAGAAGAGTGTTCGACCGAGACAACAAATAAAACTCGAGTGGTTCAAGCACCTCTATCATCTTTTAATTTATTACCAGAAGCGTAATCGAAAACTCTTTGCCAGGAGTGGTTAGAAATCGAAAGAGCGTTCGCCAACTGACAGCGGAAACGAACAAGATAATGGGACCGATTAAAATATTCCCAATTGGACACGCGATCGGGGGTGCAAGCTGGCTTTACGACTTCTCGGGCCGATACACATCGCGACTCGTGCGTCGAACCAAAAGCACGGAAGAGGCAGGTGTCTTCGTAAAGCGGAGCCACCGCCGCGATGCGAGAGGGAGGAAATAAGAGGGTGAAATCGTGAATCGCTGGCCGCTCGTCATGCACCCTTGATTCTGGCGTGATTCACCTGGTCGGCCGTTGCGTATTAACCCTCTGTCCACCCGGTAATAAGCGCTGATTACCGCGAGATAGACGCACTCGTGCCGCGCGTTAACCCTGCTCTCACCTGTACATCCACTTTTACATTCGAAACTAATTTATCAGAATCAAATACAGCATTTCAAACATAGAAAAAGTAATTCTTTCTATTGATAAGAATTTTAGCTGTGAATCTCGCTAAAAGGGATTTGAAAATTCAAAGTTTGGTGCATGGTGGCCATTCATCTTCGAATTTCATTAGGTGAAGTAGACGCGGGAAATATATTATTTGGAAAAGAGGGTTGGGCGCACGGTTAGGTGCCTGGCTGCTCGACAATTATCTGGTTGTAACTTCCACGCGATGGTCAGGATCCGAGAGTTGAGATGACTGCGAGGCGGAGATTAAAGGGGGTAATATAAGCGACACCCAGATGTCGCGGTAATTAAAACCGGGATTATTGTCGAAGTTCAAGCGGTGTCTGCCACGGTTAATTCGGCGACGATTTTTCCTTCGCAATTTCCTCGGCTCGTAAACGTCGCCTTCGAGAGGACAGAAGACACGCGGCACGGTCTCGTTCTTAATTAAACCAACCTTTCTCCCCTGAACAATTAAAATTTCGAAGATTTCCCACCCGCTCCGTTTATAAATTATCTACTAAGGGGAAGGCCAGTTTTACTCTGAAACGGAAGTAGACTCCAACTGGTTGATGTTTATTCATAACGATAGTCGTTGTTAAACTTCGTCATCTGTCAGTTGGAAGCTTTCTGATTAGTTATTCTTTTATATGTCGTACACTGTTTTCTTTCTGTAAGAAATCTCTTTTTTAAATCAAAAAGGACAATTAGCTTATTCAAGATTTTCGAAGCTTCATCCAATCCAGATCCAATTGGTTATCCATTTTCAAAAATCATTGACAATATGGAGCGTGCAAGGCTAATAATATCAAACAGCCCTGTAGCAAACCTTGAATGGATCACCTTTTTTGCCATTGAATACAACACGGAGGGAGCTTGAACATGCGCGGAACGTTTAGAGAGTTTAGAAAATAGTTTTTACACACGAAAGGGTTTTCGGGCACGTCCAGTTTTATTTACGTTCGATCGTTTCCGTTGTTCGTTGCATAAACACAACGAACGAGTTATCCCGAACGACAATTTTTTTTCTAGCAATTCGGTAAACCGCGCTGGAGGGCGTGAACCGGGGGGCGTAGATGCAACTGGCTTAGGCAGTTAACATCGTGAATTATGGTCCCGATTTTTCGCGGCAGCCACTTTTTTTACTTCGACCACCGCGGGATGCGTCTCCACCCGGATGGCTCTATTTAGGGTTGCAGATAATTTATGACCGGGTATTGTCGATTAACACGCGCGTAACCCGGGCGAGAAAAAAAGGGTACCGAGCGCCGAAAAAAGGGGTATCCGCGCATAAAAGGGCACGCGACTATTTTCCACCCCGAGGGGGTGGCACACGCGGCAGCCCTATCCGATTTATCGAAACTAATGACATGTCCTGTTCGATGTTTCACTCGTGTTTCACGCGGTTTACGAGTTCGAAGGATTCTTATTGTAAAATCCTGTTCCGTTATAGTCTCGCTTATAATAAGTGTAAGGGATTAGCATATCCCGGACGAGCGAGCGTTTCCGTTTTGAAGTCTCGCTCGAATTCCTCCACGAAGCGCCTACTTGATCCTAGTCCGTCACGATGCCACGGAAACATTGATTTCCGTTACTTTTTCCCATGCAACCGCCAACTGACACGGCTGCAGGGGGTGCTGCCAGAGGATCCCACCTGTTGACTTTCCGCATCGAAATATCCCGCCAACTTTTTGTTCGACAACCATTTCTTCTTAACTCAACATTGTAGCTATATTATAATTATCTTTCAATAATCCAATAAATTAAATTCTCATTGAATCAAACATCCCTAGATTTACATAATAAGATTTTATATAAAATTCGTCGATCTGAACGATTGATATATCTTCTCATCGCTACCTGCTGACTGTTTGCAAGATATTTTTAACATTATATTAATTTAAATAGTGATGCGTGACCCCGTTTAGCGGGTCGCGAGGTCTGCCGCATCCTTCGCATTGTTTAAACTCACGGCGTGCCGCTTCAAATTAGTCGTGGACTGAACACCGATTAACGTCCTATGGGGGTTTATGTTACGGCGGCATGGGGCGTAGTTGGTGGCGTAGGGGCTGTGCCCGGTTCCCATGAAGGTCCGTTGGGGGCCATCGTTAGACCATATGCTCGGGACAAGTGTAGCGGCAGATTTAAATAACCGTTGGCGGGTTCCGACTTCACCGTTCGCCCAGCCAATATTCGATCAACGTGCATAATTGCTAATTATTTTCGTATTTTAAAATTCTCTTACATTTTCAATCTTTTTACTGTACATCTGTGTATTTCCTTCAATCTCAAAATTAGTATCTACATTTTTTCAATTAAAAGTGGAAAAACTGATATCATTAATACGTATAATTGTTGGAATCATTTTTTTTCATCGCGTTAATAATTATTATATAAAATTATATAAAAAATATTGAAACCGTTGGAATCGACGTAGGATCAGGTCATTAAAAATTATACGCTGTCTCCCGTTCACGGGTCTCTGATTTTACCTGCCGTTGCTCCTGTCGGTAGAGGGTGAAGAGAAGCCGCAGGGGGCAAGCGAGGCTCACCTGCGATTGGCTGAACACCGTTGCCAATAGGAAACAACCCCCGTTCGCGTTTTCAGTTGCGGGACAACGTGCTACCAAGCTGATCGGTGCATCATTGTATCCGTTGTCTTTGCTGACTTCAGCATCGTAATCCCGATTAAGCGACAGCAGAAGAAGGTACTCCTTGGTGACTGTGTCCCGCGTTGAATATATTCTCATCCTCCCTACGTTTCTTAATGGGTCGTCGATTTTTTAAAAGATTCCAATTCGTTATAACTGAAAATTCTGCACGTAATCTTATGTTTATTCGCGATTTTTTATGAAAATGTGAAAACTTGGTGACAATTTAGAGGCAGTGATCAGACTAGCTGGTATACGTATACATATACTATAAAAGAGATAGGATAGGCGGAAAAAGTTACGAGTGCAGGATAGGTGAAACGATAATACCGGTTAGATTTAATAATTCAGAAACAATCGCGGCGTCCACTTGTCACGCCACTCTGTGTGGCACGGTGTCGCCGCGCGAATTCTCGATCACGTAATTCGCCCACACCGGGACGGGTCACGTATCATCGTGCTCAGGGGGTGTAATTTATAGGGCCGCAGCCCGTCACAAATTGGAACGGAATTATGACCGTGTCCAGGCCCGTGTCTCTCTCCGTTTATTCGCGCCGTTTCATGTGTCTTTTCTTCTCTTTCTGCCTGCAGCCTCGCAACACAGCGGCACCATAGACGAGGACAAGGAAGACGAGGAGGAGGGCGAAATAAGGTGCACCGTCTGCGACAAGCCGTTCCAAGATATCGAACTGTAAGTGCTTCGTCATTTTACTTTTCATTTCCAATTTTCTGGCGAATATTGTATGCTAACTCCGCTGTTACGTTGTATTAAACGTAATCCATAAAGAATTCACGAAGCGGCGTTGTTGTACGCTTTTAAGATCAGATCATCGTAAATTGTTCCTAGCGACACGCAGGCGATGAATCGTAAACGTAACGATCTATTATTTATACCGTTGATCAGTCAAATTTCGATGTGCAATGGCTCTCGAAGGCAATCGTTCGAGGTTAATCGACAGAATGCAGGAACAAGCGGCGCGTTATCCACTCGAAATCAGAGCGGTGGTTCACGAAAAGAGAAGGGCCCCCGTGCACGCGAACGTTTCAAGGGTCGCGATCAGCTTTTTCAGGGGTCGACGCTGTTTGCGTAACGCCGTTTAACGAAAAGTCAAATACTTGACCGATGCGACTGCCGCCATATGGAGGCTCACGCTATTTGCCTTCCCACGATTCGATTACTCGTTTCCTTAATTATCGTACATGATTTAATTGAAAATAAATATTCATGTCAATCAAAGTCCGAAATTGATTCTTATATATTTTAATCTTCTTTCATTGATGAACGAAATGCTGCATTATAACTGATTTAAAAAAATTCAAATGTTGTCCAATTTCGGGCGTCCATTTCGACCCGTTCCGGCATCTGTTTCCCGGGTTGGCGACAGGCCGCGACACCAAGCGCTTCCGTTCTCCTCGAGTTGGCCGCGAGCTCAGTCACCTGTTGTGGCGCGCATAAAGTACGCGCGAGATCCGCATTCGGTTGCATCGAGCCGCCCCCTTATGCATCATCGAAGGCGTCGCGTGCCCGCAGCTCATCTGGCACCGCGCACCGTCACCGTGAGCCTACTATCTCACCACGAATAGGTTTCACGCGACACGTGTGTTTCGAGGGTGTAAAATCAATGCCGCCACCACACCATGGCACATCCTGTGACCATAACCGGCGTGCCCGGCTCGCGACACCCCCAACATTTCTACACCCTCTCTCCCTCTCTTATTTTCCGTGTACGTGTGTGTGTGTGTGTGTGTGTGTGTGTGCGCACGATGACCACCCTCTTCCTTCGGGGGCGTGCGACCGTTATTACGCGAGAAGCTTGTCCGCTGCCGCGCTACCGGAGTCACTTAGTCATCATCCTCGACTGCACCGAGCGCAGTCTTCGCCGGTGCGCGGCCCCGGATCGATTATTATCTGGTTCGAGGTTCCTTGCTCGCGACCCACCTCCGAGATCTCAGCGCGATTACGTTAGCCGTGGCTCCATAGCTTTTTACTGGCGCACGAAGTGCCGTTCTTCTATGTAGATCGCTCGCGCTCGTCATTCTCTATTCTAGAGGGTGAGAACCCGTCGACCAGTGTTTAGTGCAATATTCGTGACAAATATTTTTGCGCACTTTATAAAGAACTCGTTTTATTCGCATTTCAGATTGGACAGTCATTTGATAACTTGTCACCGATATCCGGCGGAGCAGCATCGTTGCGACAACTGTCCACGCGCGTACGCCTGGCGACCACTGTTGGTCCGTCACCGTGCGATCGTCCACGGTGATCTACGAAATTATCCCTGCGAGAACTGTCCGAAGGTAAGCATCACCTCTGCCCCGAACGAACCTCACCCGACACGTTTTCTTCCGGATAATATCTTCAAAGTTTCGCTAACAGTCGGACAAACCGCAGGTCTTCACGGACCCGTCGAACCTCCAGCGTCACATTCGCACGCATCACGTGGGCGCGAGGAGTCACGCGTGCACCGAGTGCGGGAAAACGTTCGCGACCAGTTCCGGCCTGAAGCAGCATACTCACATCCATAGCAGCGTGAAGCCGTTCCAGTGCGAGGTCTGCTTCAAGGCGTACACGCAGTTCTCCAACTTATGCCGGCACAAACGCATGCACGCGGACTGTCGCATGCAAATCAAGTGCGTTAAATGCGGACAGTCGTTTAGTACCGTCACGTCCTTGACGAAGCACAAGCGTTTCTGCGATTCGACGCCTCCCACAGGACCACCGGGAACCATGCCTCAATTACCGACCTCGGCACCGAGTCCTTTCCTGGTCTATCCGAGACCTCCCGTTGGTCTGCCGGGAGGTTTATCCTTCTATCCGCCTGGCTTGATGGGACCCTATCCCGGGATTTTCCCAAATGCACCCAACTTCCTGAACACGCCACTTCTGTTTCCGCCGAAGGTCGAGGAAGCCGAGAAGAGAAGCGACAGTCCGAAAAAGGAACGCTTCACTCCACCAAGAGTGTTGCCGCAACATAGCAAAGTGTCTCCATCCACTGCCGAGGAAGCTACATCTTCGTTCAGACCATCTCCAGCTAGACCGCCCGTCCAGCCTACTCCAGAAAGCAACGACGACTCGTCTAAGAAACGGGAATCCAACAGAGGCAGCGAGAAGAAACCGGACTCGGATACACGCGCCGCTTCGAACGACGAAACTGCGGATCAACCCCTGGACCTGAGAGTGCAGACTAAAAAACAGGAATCGAATTCGAACAGAGCTGAGAGAAAGTCTCACAGTCCGTCGCCAACTCCGATTCCTATGGACGAGGCTCCACCACCTCCAGAACCTCCAAAACCTGAAGAAGAGGCATCCACGCCGATGGAGATCGATCCCAAAGACGTTCCCAGCAGTCCACATTTGAGAACCAGTTTACCAGCTGAACAACCACCTACCAATACGCCCCCGCACATGGCGTACCCCAGACCGATCCATCCGATGTTCCTGGAGGCGATGTATCGCGCGCCGACGGGCACGTTTCCAGGTTTTCCGGGTGGTCCGCCGCCTCCTTCGGGCGCGAACCAGGAATCCAGGCTTTTGCCACCGCTGCCACCGTTCGGTCCACCTCGTGGACTACCTTTTTTAGGAACGTTGATGAACGGGCTCAGCGGCGCTAGGCCAGGAGGTGGTGGATTCGACTTGCTCGCCAGGCCGCCACTGGGACCGTTCCGTACTGTGTCACAATTCGATGAAGCCGTCATCCCAACGCCGCACCATCACCACCATCATCATGCCCACGGCAAGATGAAGGACCGTTACTCTTGTAAATTCTGCGGCAAAGTATTCCCGAGATCGGCAAACCTGACTAGACATCTTCGCACGCACACCGGTGAGCAACCGTACAAGTGCAAATACTGCGAAAGATCATTCAGCATCTCTAGCAACCTTCAGCGACATGTAAGGAACATCCACGACAAACAGAGACCGTTCAAATGTCCGCTCTGCGAGAGGTGTTTCGGGCAGCAGACGAATTTAGATAGACATTTGAAGAAGCATGAAGCAGACGATGGAAGCGGTGTGGTTTCTGTCGCGGATTCGCCTGGAAGCAGCAACGAGAACGAGAGAGAAGATACATACTTCGACGAGATTAGATCCTTTATGGGCAAGGTGACGTACGGCGGGGAAGCTGGCTATGGATTGCCGCCGCATCCGGCTTACTTGCCGAGCAGACTTCACGAAATACACGAGTCGAAGATAGAGACCGAATACGACGAGGAAGAAGACAGCGAAGGAGGTGTATCTCCTTTGGACGAGACTGATGGATTATCTCCAGTCGACGCTAAGGAATCGACGCCACCACCGCAGTATGACTTGAAGCTGAGAGACAAGCCGGAACTGCTGAACAACAACACCTCGGAACCCGTCATCGAAATCTCGACATAGCCCGGTCGAAGAAGAAGAGTATTACTGTCTTAGTGGCACCGCTATGAACAATGTCTCGATGTAACGTTTTTTTAAAGTAGGTAGATTCCGTCGATCGTGTTTCAAAGTTACATACTATTAGTGAGAGGAGCGTCTGGCTCTGATTATGTTTCAAGTGTTTCTTCGGGGAGCACGTAAAAAAAAAGACGTTATGGACGCAGAAATGAAGAGCGCGTTTACGGGATTTCGCATCCCACGATTACTTTTTTTTGCACAGTAAGAGTGATGATCCGGGGAGATCGAATAAAACATCCGCAAGACACACGCATACACACATTCACGTTAACGGGCAAGCTGTTCAATAGCGTAGTTCCTACAGGCTCGTTTTCATGGTACACGTGCACGTAATTAATAATTGTTCCCGTTTCCTAAGCCCTCTCATCGGAATCGCCCATCGTAGTGTATTATTTATTGAAGCAGCGAGTTTGCATCGAACGAGAGACTATGTCCTAGAGTTTCAAAAACTCGGACTATCCTTTTAATGATTCATCGTAATGATGACATTGTACACGCAGCACGATTTAATCGTGGATGTGCGGGAGAAAATCATCGATGACGTTTCCTTTCTTTTCTTTACAATTTGTTCTTTTAGAAATGTAAGTCGATCCACGATGAACGAAAGGAACTGCAGAAAAATGATTGAGTTCTTGTGTTAGTCGACGCGAAGCCAAAGCGACGAAGAGGACGGTGATTGTAGCGAGAGTGTGTTGTAATTAAGAGAAGAATGTTTTACGAGAGTCTCTGTACAAATTTTCATTAGGTGATAATAACGTTTGTAAAAAGGAGAAAAAGAATACGGAAGTTCTTCGTGATTTTTAATATATATATATAAATACATATAGATATAGATATACGTATACATATATAAATATGAGAATGCGATCTTATCGAATTAACGCGAGTCACGAGGAGGCTCGGTTTTGCGAATAATTGTTATGTTCAAGACGGATAGATTGATAAAAAAGCGTGTTCCCATCCCGTATCGATGGTTCAACGATGATTGTTCAACGAAGCAGGCGTTATCTTATTTCTTTTCGTTCTATCCTAGACGACGATATGTGAATAGCGTTTTGGTAACGGCGTTGACGACATAGAAAAAGATCACAACCCTTTTTTCACCTAAGGATATCACGGATATGGAGTTCCAAGTACATATCTCTCCTCCCATCCTTCCCTATCTCTCCCACTAAATAGACGATAATAAACTTAACGGATTTATTAAGCATACTTACGTCGAATCGAATTAAGAACGATTATATTATGCCTTTATCTATACATACTGTATAAAAGCATCCCTGTAACTTCATTATAATTACTATTAAAATATTACACTTCAACTGTGGCGTAATTTCTATGCACCCAGAGTATGATTCAAGGTTCAATTGAAAGTTTATGCAAATTTTAATACTGCTTTGGAACAATTAATAAAATTAATTAAAGCTTGTAACGAAGAGTAAGTACTTACCAAAGAGGAATCGAGAATTCTTCCATGGTTTCTGTACAGATGCACCCAGAGACCAATTCGAAAATGGGTTCCACCATAGCATATACAAGAATCTATAGGAATCTACCCTGTTTGATTCCACCATAGCAAGGGGAAGAATCTGTAGACGGTACCAGCGTTCGTAGACAGACGGTGTACTGTTACTTTTCCTAAAATTTATCACTTGGCGAGCAGTTTCGATGAGCATTCTCATTTCCTTTCTTTTTACAGCAATAGAATTCGTATAATTAACATATAAAAAAATATATAAATAACATAAACGAATTTTGCACTGTCAAGATTTCAACGATTTTTGTCAAAACACTAATAGAGTATCTCTTCGGTGGTTAAAGTCAATCGTGATGTTTATCCAATGCTGATAAATTCAAGCTGACCGACCACGAATAAGCCGTTCTCTGGTTTCTCCAAGGTACGCAAGATCTCACTGCTTAACCCTTTCACCGCGTGCCTCCACATTTTCAAGTTCAAATTGGCAATGAATGAATATTCCTTCATCGTTTTATTAAAGTGTCAACATGATATATAATAGGAATAGAGACTTCTTTTTCCTTACTATTACTATTGCTTGCACGATTTCATTCAAAATTTGATGCAAGAATGATCAGTTCACACATAATGGAGTGATATCAATACGATGTGAGATAGGAGAATATCCACAAACATTTTCAAAGAACCGCTACATGTCTGGAAGAATACGAAGCGCTCGGTTCAATTTACCAAGAATCTGGAATGCGGCCACGGAAAAATAAGAACAAACTTTTTTGTCCGATCCACCTTGCGAAAAGATCTACTCTGACGGTTTCGTGGATCCGTGAATAGGCGATCGACGCGATGAGGCAATAATTCTACGCGCGAACGAACATTATTGCCAACGTTGACAAAAACGGTCGACGCTAATCGCGAAATTCCTAAAGCGCGATCCCGGATAGCGTTTAGAAAGTACAAAAACCCGAACCGATTCGTCGCCGCTCGATTCCGATTTCGTTTGCCAAGTACCCATTGTTCTTCGCTGTTCATTGCTTATCGTTGGATCTCTCCACGGACATTCGCGATTAAGATAAAGCGTATCGTTAGTCGCAATTAGTTACGCGCCGCGCAAACCTAATCGTCCAGGCTTACTGCGTATCTTCTCGACGTTGCATTTTATTATGCATTGATTGTTTTAGTGTTCGTAAAGCAAACGAATGAAGCCTAAGATTCGAGACAGAAGAATGTGTAATAAAAGTATAAGAAATATTGAACGATGAAAGAATAGAATTTTCATATAAAAAAGCAGTAATAAGTATCAGATGCAAAATGGATATTGTATATGTACAACATTCACACAATATATTTTCAAGAACAGAGAAGAAGGAAAAAACGCAGTCACGGATTTCACAAGAATTTCCGCTATATCCATCGAGCGTCCGTTTAGGAAAGACAGAGGCCAGGCACGCGTTTTTCTCGTCTCTCATCTCGCCACGTCGCGCGCGTCTCCTTTCATTTTAACGCATGATCGCGCACCCGATCCGAACGGCGTGCAACACACCCACCGATCTCTAATCCGTTCCTCTACGCACCGCCGCACCGCTCCGCTTGCAGCCTCGCTCGAATAGAAAACGTCGCTTCTCGACAAGTCGCGACGTTAGCCATTTCGCGATAGGCATTTTAATTAATCGGGAAGAGTTCGAACGGCAAAAGGAAATACTAGGTTACAACAGACAGAAGAAAGACAAATTGTTCGTTAAAAAGATTTATTGCTGAAAGTTTCGTTCTTCGTTTTACAAAGGCGATTCGTTAAACAAATTGGCAACATATTTACGGACTGCCCACGCGTAATTAGATAACGTGTAAACACGCAACTGAGATTTTACGAGTGCCTATCGAAAACCACGGGCTGTCCTCATCGCTTGCTTTCAGTCGGACCGAGCCGCTTTTGCGTCACAGCTTTCCACGGATCGTATAGCCGGGAAAGAGGATCGCGATCGATTTCTTCTTCCGTCCCGCGGCAAGATCGATCTGCGATCTCTCGATATTCCAGACCGGAACGGTGAACGCCGCGCGAGCGAGCCACCGGCCACGTGAAACCCCTGCTCCGCTCCAACAGATTACTTTCACTGTTTGACGAAGCTCGATCGCAGTCACGATTATCCTCGACTTTTCTCCTTTCGTTGCCCCGACGATTTCTGAAATACGATTTTGAACAATTCATGTATTTAATCAAGAAGTATACAAAATTCTATCAAGTATATTTGGGAGATCATTAGGGAGTCATTATTGAAGTACTAATTGTCATCAAATACAAGCTTTTCATACACTGGATCGCTCCAACATTTTTAATTTCAATCGGTAGAATCGAACCGATTGAAATATCGTGTAGGACAAATTGCGAGACACGCGGAGCTTCGGATATGAAGAAGTCGCGGCGATCCCTCTCGCGGGCTGTCCTCCATTACGGCGCGGCGGCGCGCGGTTGTACCACGTCGAGATAAACAAGCCGATTAAATGGAAGATTAACTATCTCGCGCTAAAACGAGCTTATCTGCGCCTCGGTTTCGACACGAGGCCGCCGTCATCCTTCGCTTCTCCTCGATACACGCTGGACCGCGACCACGCGAGATGCAGAATCATTCGGTAACTTCCCCCATTTTTCCTTCCTTCGAGCGAGATCCAATATTAATATCTGTACTCAATCGACACGCCTATGAAAAATTTCGACCTTATTATTATTATCTGCTTTATCAATTTCCAATACAATTATATGTTTACCACTGGAAATTTAGCAAAGCACGAATAAATACGAGTCTGATAACGAATACACGTTGGAATTATTATCAGTTGACAGAAAGTGAGGCTCTGCCAGAAGATAATAAATTAATTGTCAAGCGTAAAGTGAACGAGTCATCCGACTCTGATAATGGTATGCAAAAAAGAAGCGAAGAAGAAGCAGATACACATATCTATTTCTTTATGTAACGATTCGCTTATGGGACGCGCCTTGAAGCATGTCCACGAGCATCGATTGGAAAATTTCCATCGGACGCGTTATCTTGTTCGAGGATCGTTACAAATTCTCGTTGCTCGTGATCGCGGATGAAAAAGCGCGAAGCTCGCTGAGAATCCGTCGACCTATCACCTCGCGACGATCGCCGAGCTGTCCTCGCCGAGCGATCGTTATCGGAGTTCGCGTGGGCGCCGCTCCGGCGTGCGTTTCACGCGGAACACGCGGCTTACAACGTCTCAATGTAATCGCTTCTTCGCGGCACGGCAGCAGCTCTAATTGAAATAGTAATTTATGCATCCGAACGAGATCTTCTTTCAATTGAATTTTCTGCGATTAGGATCGTCTACAATCTACATGTATAATGTGTCCTGAAGCTCTCTTCCTGTATTTCGTTTCAATTTTGTGACCTCCGAGCTGTTTCTGAATTCGTCTTTACACAGTAAATGCAGTTTGTCAACCGGAAGTCGAATTTGTTCAGTGTCAGCTTGAACAGCGGAGGAATCTTAAGCGTGACCTGAGCGCAAACAAATCAGAGTGTGGGAGTTGCTGTAGCACTGGGCGGAAGAGCCGTGGAGACACACGTGTGCGCGATTTTTGCACGTAGAAACTGCCTGGCAAATGCCAAAGGATTAGAATAACACGATAGTTAATTTAAAAAATGACTTTGTAAATACGAATGTAAAAAGATGAATGTGAAACAGAATAAGAAATAAAAACGTAAGCTGTACGGTCGATTAACTTCGTTTGCGGATCATCAAGGGCGCGAACGGCGTGTTGCCATTTATTGCTAGTCGCGGCGCAATGAAATGTCAAGCGTCGTAGTGAATCGGATTCTCTAGTAGGGAGGAGAGTTCGTTCCATTCACACAGAGCGACATCGGTAGCATAAGCTCAGGGCTGCGCTCCGACAGATCAGATAAACCCGCGAACCGCGAGAGCGTTATAAATCTTCGAGGAAGACGGTAGCCTTGTCGATACGCGACGCGTTTCAAGAAATCGCTGCTACCTGAGCGAAACCGATCGAATGCAAATTAACAGCGAAATCGTTTTTGCGTCATTCTGGTAATCGCTTACAGATGAATCGTCGATGATGCATACGCGCATTATCTATTATGTTTCACGGAGAACAAGTTTCGAAAACGTATCGCCGTTCACTGGTTTATCTTCGATTTAAAAAAATCGAGGAACGCTTGTCGATAATAGAAATAGATGTTATGCAATGGGAGAGAGAGGTTCGTCAAATCGGATAATTTCACTTCTCTCGGTTATTTTCGTCGGGGGGAAGGATCAAAGGGGAGACAATCGTGGGTAGTGGAGAACGATATACGGGTGTACACCGTGGTGTACCTGACACACGATCACCGACCGTCTTCCACATTTATCAACGAGCGAAATGTCAGGGGATCCCATGAATCGAGACGACGAGAACGAAGAGCGTCCCATTCACATGGAGAACTCGTCCTCCCCGCGTTGCGTCCGTGGAAATGTCAAGTCTCATTCGGATCTTGCTCTCGTCGCGAAGAGTAAAATATGCCGCCTGGTAACGCGTCGAAAATATTCCGCATACCAGATCAACATTTGAAATCTGAATGAAGAATCAAGTGGAGAACGATGAGTCGTATCGATACCTCAAAGGTTTCTCACATAAGGAGACATGTCGTATCTACATCAATCAACCCGGTATCGACAAATTTTTCTGTAATACAGATGGTGTTGCGACTTTGAGGCTGAGTTTCTTATCGAATGTGGGAACGAGCTTTAAAAGGGAACTGATGTTATGGTCTCGGGACGCGAGACAAAGCGGCAACAAATTAGTGGCAAATGTCGCGGACGAAAGTGGAACGAAGCCGG